TCTTCTTCTTCTTCTTCTTCTTCTTCTTCTTGTTTACTGCTGGTGGTTGGCTTTGGTCGCAGTACCGCCACCTTCTGCTCTGGAGTGTAAACGCTTCGCCTATGAGAAAAAGTAGCAGCGCATGAACCGAACGCAACACACGCGAACCGAACCGAGACAGTCGAACCGAGTGGTTCGGAGGGTTATCATAAACCGTTCCATCACTAGTGTGGAAGCATTTCAGGTTCCGTAACTGAATGAGGTTTTAATAGGAATTGCTAGAGTACAACTTTGCTATTTCTGTTATTTGCTGTTGTTTCTCAAATTAAATGCATAACGATATTACAGCTTTCATTGATTTATTTCAAAATTAAAACATTATCTAGCCTTTAAGGTAAAAAAAAAATTTAACCAATAAATCATATTGATCGTGGTTTATTCTTGAGTATTGAAAAAAATTTAATCTTTGGGTCAGGGAATTGATACTGAATGGAATCGACATGATGGGTGTGATTTACACCCCTATTCACCATGGTGGTGGTTTGTTCAGAGTGAGCTGCAGGTGATTGTCAAAGAAGCCTTAGCATTATTGGATTCAGCTTGCTATCATTTTAATGTTTTCTTTATTTAGTTGCTAAATGTTTCTTTTTGTTTCGATTGAATTTATCAGCAGCAGATTTCAGAGATGAGAGCGAAATCATCATTATCGGCCTTTAAAAAAAACATAGTCATCTTCTAATTTATAGTGACTAAGAAATAAATAAATTCATTACTGATAATTGTAAACATTTAAAAGTTTGAGAAAATGTTCAGCTTTCTCCCTGTTTTACTTCCTCTGCAGCACACATTCTGCAGACGCTGTGCCTTGACTTCAGGTGAGTCCTGCTGATCTTCTGGAAGGAGAAAGTTTTTAAGGTCTGTTTGCTTTGAAGCTTTTTAACACCGAATCCTCTCCTCCCAGATAAGTGCCCGGTGGACGCAGCAAAGCTCACTGTCGTCGTGAACAACATAGCTGTAGCCGAGCAGATCGGCGAGCTCTTCATTCACTGTAAATACGGCTGCAAAGCGGCAACCAACGCCGCCGGCGGAGCGGCCGCTTCTGCGGCGGGGAAACCCGGGGACTACGAGGTGGACCCCCTGGGCTGCCCCTTCACCATCAAACTGTCCTGTCGCAAGTATGGCAAGCCGTTATCGTGCAAAGCCGATTGCGAAACAGAGCTCCGTTATTAACCTTTGCTTTCTCTGCAGAGAACATGAAGCAAACTGTGACTACAGGCCGGTGCGCTGCCCCAACAACCCCTCCTGCCCCCCACTGCTCACCATGAACCTGGAGGCCCACCTCAAGGAGTGTGAGCACATCAAATGTCCACACTCCAAATACGGGTGAGTTTATCTACCTCTGCAGACCTTATTTATTCATCCACATCAAACCAGACAGGGTTCCATAAAAACCCTTGTCTCTGTTCCCCACAGCTGCACATTCATAGGGAACCAGGACACGTATGAAACCCACCTGGAGATGTGCAAGTTCGAAGGTCTGAAGGAGTTTCTGCAGCAGACTGACGACAGGTGAGCCACGACTGAGACGAAACGTCTGACGTCAAACATCTGCTCACCTGAAGGGTTCTGAGGAAAACTTCTCTGGGTTCTTGATCAGGTTCCATGAGATGCAGCTGGCTCTGTCCCAGAAGGATCAGGACATCGCCTTCCTGCGCTCCATGCTGGGCAAACTGTCTGAGAAGTTGGATCAGCTGGAGAAAAACCTGGAGCTTAAATTTGGTAAAAACTGGTTTTGTTTGGCTCACATTGTATGGAGTGAATTTGCTTCCACTATTATTGCAAAGACTGTGTTTTGTAAATTAAAGATAGAAAACATTTAAAGGAAAAGTCTGTTCAATGGATCAATATCTGTACCTAAAATTAATATGTGTGCAATGATTTAATGAATTAAGCGTTAATTGGTGATTACTGAGTCTGGGAGCGGCCATTTTTGCCCAAATATAGATTTATCTTTACAAGAACAGAGCCTTTTAATGACATTTAGTCTGTCAGGAACTAATGCTTCTCTGCTGTTTCTCCACTGAAGACGATATGAAGCTAAAGTTGCTTTTCCTCTGATTCGCTTGTCTTTGTGTTTTTTTTTAAGACATGTTGGACGAGAATCAGAGCAAACTCAGCGAGGATCTGATGGAGTTTCGAAGAGATGCCTCCATGTTGAATGTAAGTGTCAAACATTTGTGTGTGCAAACTATTCAGACAATGAGGTCAGATAAGAGAAGGCTTTTAGCAAAACAAATAAATATTTCTGGTAAAATAAAACTAACGTTCAAAAATCCTCAAGTTTAAAGGACAGAAGCATCTGTACAGAAAAATACGGATAAAAAAAGGATAAAAGCATATTTCCTTTATTATAAAACCAATGATGAATCTTTTTTTTGTCTTTGAAAACAAACCTGAGATCAATTCTGCCCCTTAATATGATCTATTCAATAATAATCAACCAAGACCAATTTAAAGTAACGCTATGTAACCCAAGTAGCTTGATTTTAGCGATCCTGTCTGGTAGTACTACTGGCTGCTTTTTACAGTGATCCATGGTGGCAAATCTATTGGGATTTCTGTCAGGCAATTAATTACATCTGCAATAAATTAAGAAAATTATATTTTCTTATCACAGAGATCGCATGACATTTACAGGGTTCCCACGGGTCCTTAAAAAGTCTTAAAAGGCATTGAATTCTTCAAAATAAAACTAAGGCCTTAATTGGTATTAAAATGTCTTAAATTAGTCTTTCGTAGGTCTTAATTTTTAAAACATCATAAATAGGATTTTTTTATTATGATTTATTTCTCAGTTTTGTTCCACCCTTGTCTGTGCAAAACAAAGTTTGTGAATTCAGTTAAATAATTGTTAAAATATATCTGTCATTTGTGTTTTTTTAGCTTTCTTCCTGTATGGGAAGCTTTTCAAAATTTGAAACATTAGTGCAGTGGTTTATGTTAAAATAAACCTTTGGGTTAAGTGGTTGCAAGCGGGTTTTTCTTGTGTTTCTTGTGAATTTGGTCTTACATTTTTTATTTCAAAAGTCTTGAATTTAACTTGCCTTATGCTGTAGGAACCCTGATTTAACAAGAGACTCATTTATTCTGGCCCCAGCCCTCTAAGTTGCGTTCATAACCATAAAGTGGGTTTACTTCCGCAGAAAATGTGGATTGTTGCATCGCTTTAAAAAAAACGCATGAAAATATAAAAGTATGATTGTAAAAGACATAAAACACCTGAATATAATCTATATAGTCTTGTACTTTATTTCTTTATGAGAAGTCTAAATCTTTTTAAAAGTGTGATATATTACCCAGCACTGATTTTAGACATAAAAATCTTTTGTTAAATCATTACTTGAAGCTGTACAGTCTTTCATTTAGGATCAGCCACTTGAAGATGTGCCCTCTGTGTTTCTACACCCTGCAGCTTTCTCTCTCCGGTTCTTTTTCCTGAAAAGAGATCACTCTGGTCAAACTCTTTAAATAAGACTTCATAACTCATATGTATTAAAGAACCAGGAGACATGTTAACAGATTCTGATAGAAATTGTAATCTTACACAGATCAGAGAAGTTGCTTAGAATTACAGAAGGAAGCTGCTCACCTCCGGGCTCACCTCTCAGGAAGTGGCCCCGATTAACAGTTAAAAAGGCATTTTATTCATAACCAGTCTGCCACGTCATGATTAGACATCCATGGCTCCAGCCTTATCAAAATATTACACTTTGTTCTTAGCTGAAGGACGCCGCTATCATTCCATTTCCAAATCTTTGCCACCTACAGAATGAAGATTAAAACTGTGTATCCAGACAGAGAAACTGTCTTAATTAGATAAACTATTGTGGAAAATATCAGTTCTGCCACGCAACAGGTGTAATAAACTCACACATCAATGATAATTATTCTAACAGTAGATCGTGTTCACCTGTTTTATAATAATATTTTAAAAGGAAGAGGCTGATTCCAGGGAAGTCATTTATAGAACAGCTGAGGGAATATTATGGCGCGTTCAGATGCAGTGTTTACACCCTGGACAGCGTCATGAAGTAGGAAGCTGAATTTAATGAACCAAAAAAAGATCATGTGTGCCGCTGTTGTTTTGGAGATATTAAAGATTATTTATTGGTAACACCTTCAATAACCATGTCATTACATGGTAATAACATAGCAAGGTATACTATATTACTAGGTAACAAGAAACACTTATTGGAGAATTTTGGTGTTGTGCTTCAAATTTTAGGCAAGCAAGATTAAGTCAGACTTCTTAGATGTCAAACCGTTATTAACAGGTGACTCAGTCATTTCACTGACAGCAATAAATGAATATGTTATTATCTAGTAAAATGCAGTTTATTACTTATAACAGGAAACCAAACCTAGAAGACAGCGAGCCAGTCTTCTTAACTTAACTCTTATTTATATGTAACTTCAGTTCAGTTTTGTCAATCAGCGTCTGCAGTTTTATCAAGTTACAATTTACTTTGTAAGCTGTTGGTAGGTTGTGGCCAAAATAGAAACTTATGTAGTGACCTAATGAATAGTGCTGGGTATTTTCGCAAGAGTCCTGAATCGATTCGATTTTGATTCATACGGTTCTAAATCAATTAATTTCGATTCAATCTGTTTTTACAACAATGAAAGTGGTTCAACTGTGTTTCAAAATACTCATGTATTTTATTTTTTACCTGTCATGTTAAACACAAAATGCAAACTTGTAAATCGGACAGTTTAAACTTGAGATGTGAACAAAACTGCCTGAAAAGTCCAAACAAAGCAGAACTGCATTATCCTCAATGCACAAACCATATTTGCAGCGTCGTCTGTAACAACCACAGGGTGTTTGCTGGTCAGCCCCCATATGTTAATGTCTTCAATCAACCTATTAGCTGTATTTGCAGCTGTCTGGCTTGAAGTATTTTGAGTGCATCTTTCCTGCTCATTTAAATGATAATGTCACGCATGTCACTATAAAACTAATCGCTCTCATTCCCTAGACATCGATTTTGCAACAATGTAGAGGAATTGATTCAAAATCGATTTAATCAACTTTTTTACCCAGCCCTACTAATGGAGATTAACCACCAAAAGTCTCCATTGTTATATAGTAACATACAATTATAATTATATTCAGCTAATTAACATATAAACCTTAATTTTGGGGTTATTGCCAAATAATCTTGTTACAGAGCAAGATATGTCGACTTGCTTTCTTATTACCATGTTATTACATGGTTATTGATGTACTGTAAAATGAAGCGTTACCTGTTTATTAGCTCACCCAGAGGTCAATTATCCCCCATTAAGCTCTGAACTGAGTCAAAATTATCCAGTGTACTTTTTCAGTGCTACTTTTTTTGTGCAGGTAAAACTATCGTTTGTGTGGATTCAGGCTTCAAGATAAAATTTTAATTACGCCCATCTCTGCAGACGTTAGTGCTGCGCTCGTTCCTCGTTGCATAACATCACATGTCATTCCTGTGCTGATATTAAATATACCGGTGGGCATGTTTACCTTATTTAGTGGCTGGAATAATTGTTTAATATTTAGTAAATCACCAGCATCCTAGACCCTTTGCTTTGGACCCTGCCATCCCAGCAATAGCTCACCAGACTCCATTCATCTCATCAAGTGAGTCCAATCTGAACATGATGACTTGATGAGATGACTGGAGTCTGGCGAGCTACTGCTTGGTTGGAAAGAAAACCTGCAGCCACTTTGACACCCCTGGCCTAGGACAAAATTAAAATGGCTTTTTTTTTAAAAGACACCTAAAAACCTCTGGAGAGCATTGCTTATTTCTACATTTTTTAACATTATTTTTTCTATATTCCATTTTAACTGAGAAAATGTTCACCTCGACTGCACTTCTTTAGACTACATAACAGCCGGTCCCTGATTGGCTGCCGCGTCTCGACATAATAGAAAAGGTCAGCTCGTTTCAAACTCAGCGATCGCCGCTCCGCTCTCTCCATGCGATGCTGCTGTTTGAAGCCTCAGCTCCATCACCACTAAACTCTCTTCCTCTTGCACGTTTCCTCTGTCCATAGCGTTCCTTGACAGTGTCGTTTCTACGTCACCAATTTAGTGCTACTTGGTCCCAATGGAATTTCCCTTTGGGAACCAACTAGCACTAAGTTGCTAACTGGTTAGCAAGATGCTTCAGACAAATTGGCAACAATTAAAAAGCTTCCGCCACAACAATAACAACCCTGCTCCCTTGATAATCGACCAATCACGTTCACTTTATTCACTCGTGTAAAGTCGTGCACCACTCGGAAGAATTTGGAAATGCAAAGGTTGGAACAGCCGCTTCCCTACGACTTTAAAAGAAAAGGGTTTTTAAAGTAACAACATTTTAAAAAAGTACATTTTTTTAATTTGTTTCATATTTTATTTTGTCAAATTATTTTCTTCAAATTCTTTTACACTTTAAATTTTATAATGTTCTATATTTTTGTTTTGTTAAATTTTCTTTTTCAGGTTGAGTTTAATGAATAGAGTTCTTTTTAAATAGTGTTTTACGGATCACACTCTTCACATCTGTGTTTTAAAGTGAAGAGAAGGTGATCTGTGAAATGCAAAAAAAAAAACAACTAATAATTGAAGCGTGCAATATTCATAAATATAATTTTTTTTTTAACTATTTAAAAAATGAAATAATGGTGAAAAAACATTTGTTTTTGACAAAGCAAATTTTAGAAAAAGCTAAATTACTTCAAATATCTTTTGATTTTCTAGATTGTATTTCTTTTTTCCAAAACATAAATTTACAAACGGTTTTCTTTGCTGCCAACATAAATGGAACAGATTTCTCTCCATAAGATTCTTTGTGTAAAGTTGAGCTTTGTCTCCTCAGGATGAGCTGTCACACATCAACGCCAGGCTCAACATGGGAATCCTTGGCTGTAAGAATCTCTTTACCTTCGCTTCTTCTCCCTTCTTTTTAACTTTTCCATCCTAAATTCAAACCCAGCTCCTCTCGTCTCTCAGCCTACGACCCACAGCAGATCTTTAAGTGTAAAGGGACGTTTGTCGGCCACCAGGGGCCCGTCTGGTGTCTGTGCGTCTACTCTACCGGAGACCTCCTTTTCTCCGGCTCTTCTGACAAAACAATTAAGGTAAAAAATCTCTCTTGATGAAACCACTATGCTACGTTCACACCTAAAGCAGCAGAAGCAGATGGTTTACATGCAAAGTCAATGGTTGATGCACATCTTGGCATAGTTAAAGGTCCAGCAGCGCCTCAGGAGCTTCTGAGGGGGACGCGCTGCGAAAGCAGCAGCTTCTGGAGCTGGAAAAATTAAATTTTTGCTGCTCGGCGCTCCACATCAACCAATCAGAGAAGCTGAAGCCGCACAGAGGTGGCAGCATCATGCTGAGGGGATGCTTCCGTTTAGTGGAAGCAGAGAAGATGACTGGCAGAGGAGTACAATATGTAAAACTAAAGGGTAGTCTGTGCCCCCCCCCCCCATTCTTAAAACATCACTTAAGTATATTTAATGTATTTAGATGTTAGGAGGAGAAAGATCTACTGATCCGATTCTCTGAGTCTATCTGCTCTGATTTCGACCAATTAGCAGGATGAAATATCTGATGAATGACGCCGGATTTAATCTGGATGAACTGACTGAACTGATGAAGTTTTCAGGTGGACTTTCTCGCTTAAAAAAATATTAAAACTACTTTTTACCCATTGATCACAGCAAATATAGCTGCCATTGTTACAGGCAAAGAAAGGATCGGGTAGCTCCGCCCAACGCGCATCAGACCCACTTTTCAGCACGCGTTTTTGCTGCTCCTGCTGCTCGCTGTGGGAAGAAGCATTACACTGATCTTTATGTTTTTATCTAAATTGTTTACACATTCCAATCAGACGTTCCGTGTAACCATGCATTGTTTCGCCTCCTTTAAGGTGTGGGACACCTGCACTACTTACAAGTGTCAGAAAACCCTGGAAGGTCACGATGGGATTGTCCTGGCTCTGTGCATCCAGGGGTAATATAAAGCAGACACACGTTTTGCTCCATAGTGTCGTTCTCTTTGCAGCGCTAAGCAACAGGACGTTTTACCTTTGTCTCCACAGAAACAAACTGTACAGCGGATCTGCTGATTGCACCATCATTGTAAGCAGCCTTCATCCGTTCTATCAATGCCACCGTATCATAGTTTGCTTTCAGGAAAAAGAAGCCCTTTGTATTGCTTGTTCCCTGTGTAGGTGTGGGACATCCAGACCCTGCAGAAGGTGAATACGATCCGTGCCCATGACAACCCCGTGTGCACGCTGGTCTCCTCCCACAACATGCTGTTCAGCGGCTCCCTCAAGGCCATTAAGGTACGCAGCCTTTGGAGGAATTTTATCCCACCTGGAATTTCAGTCTGAGTTGAGCTGATTGCCGACAGGAAAGAATGTGGAAGACATTTATAGATTTATTAAATTTTTTTCTAGCTTGAAAGGTAATAACGAAAGGTTAGATGTTTTTAAGCATTACAACTAGTCATTAGAACGCCAGACTTTTATCGCACGATAAACTAAATATTGCTGTTGATCTATTTTCAAAGTTAAGTTGGAAGGTGAGTCTATATTGATGATAATTTTATCCTCGATATTGTAGCGTGTTTGCTAGCAAGTAACTCACACTAAAGCCAAGGTCCAGCAATGATGCGCTTTGTTTATGCAACGAAAGATACCAGGAAATACTTGTTCACTTATATCCAACTGGTGAAACATTCTTCCGATGGTGCCACTTACAGCTGCAGCCTCCAGAACATAATGTTAGCTTAGTATGAACAGACTACCAACACAAACAGCCCTGTTTAACACAAGACTAGGATAAATGGTGATGTTTTCCCCATCTTGACGTTACCCAGCAGCCCTTACTGCTTCTCCAGCCTCACAGGACATTACAATGACAGCCTGAGTGACTGGTGGAAAAAGGAGAAATAGTTTGACACAAACCTGCGGACTGTAAACAGTTCATCATGACCTATTATGTAGGCCTACAGTTCAGAATTATGGTTATGTTATTAAATAATTGTCTTATTAAACACAAATATATCTTATTGAACATTATTTATTTTCATCTCCAGTTATTGTAGAAAAGCTTTTTCAAATAGTTTGTGATGAATTTTGGAAACAGGAGATGTGTACCTGGTCTAATGCGCCACCTGGCTTGAGAAACCAGATTTTTATTTATTTACTTATTATTTAGGTAGCACACACACGTCATCCTTATCTTATAAAATTCTTATATCTTATTTGTACTTACAATCTTATTTTCCTCTCTTTTTTTAAACGATTGCACTGCCAGAAAACATTTCCCGCAAGGGATTCATAAAGTAAAAGTGATTCTGATTCAGGAACCCATTTGGCAGAATTCAAATTAGCAGTTTTAATCTAGATTATTTAATCTCTACAGTTAGATTAATCTAGATTAAACAAATTAATCTATGCCCACCACTAATTAAATCCAAAAACGTTCAGGTATTTTCTATTACTTTTCATGTCCGCTTAGATACTGATATATCAGCATAAATCAAACATAGCTTTATAACTTATTTTATGATTCATTAACATTTCTGAAACAGAATAATCTTAATCCATAGAGTGAGACAAACTTTGAACTGAGTGGATAGATAGTGTTTCTATGAAGGTTCTGATATCTTAGAGGCAGGCTAATATACTAAAGTAGTTTATTCTAAACGAATTAGAATCCGAAATGGTTTTCTAGCATTTGTCTTCAACCTCTTTTTAAACGTACACATCAAACAAAGTCCGGTTGAGATCTGATTAGTAAAACACAGTATGTAAAACTAAAAGGTAGTCTCTTGGATTTTCAAAAGTCAAAACAGGAATGGTTTGAAAGGTGAAGGCCACTGACATTTTTTCCTCTCATCTTTTCTGACTCTCTTTCACCAGTTTTGCATTTGGCTAGGGTCACTGTCACTACTGTTAGCATGAGGACGCCATCTGTTGTCTCATTAGGAGCATGCCCCGACATTGTCAGGCATGCATACACACACGTAGGGGACACACAAATTACTGAATACCGTTTTGAGTCGCTGCAATGAAATTTCAGCAAAATGGAGTAGCCTGTCGCATCATTTTTTCACTGTAATTTTTGGGATGTCTTCAAATTCAGCCCTCTGTAGGTTGATCATTTTAATTTCCATCAAATGATGTGGCATCCTTTTGTTCCTAAAACATCACCCGGTCCTTATCAGTATAAATAAACAGCATGACTTTTTTCCCCTTTGATATCTGATATATATATTTATATTTATATGCCTGTGTCGAAAAAGTTCAGGCTCAGTATTTATTTATTTATTTATTTATTTATTTGCTTTAATCCCTGTATCTGAAATGAAAAAGTTGCAGTGGGACGTCCCTCAGTGACCCGATTGCTGCAGGAAAAGGTATTCTTTATTAGCTGGAAGCAAATCAAAGTCACATCTTGTAAGATAATAAAAATGAGGCCCTATTTTATGTTCGTCGATCCCATAAAAACTTCCAATTTTTCATATAAAAATGAATTCCTGGTTGGCTGAAGGTTTCAGTTTTTACTTTTTTTTTTGTTTTATTTCTCCCCTCAAATCCTCACAGACTGGCTTTAACACGTAGGAGTAGCAGCCAACTGTATTGGTTTGGAATCTGAAATAGAGAAATGAAAGCAAGTTTGCTTTGGCCTTGACTCGTTGCCATGGATACAAGAAAGGAGGAGGAGGACTATTGTTTTTGGTTACTGTGGTCGGTGGAAGGACTTTCCCTTCGTCTCCCACTCAGTTCAGTACGTGACCGGGCTCACGGCTTCGTTCAGCATGGCTCAGTGCTTAAGTCATTGCTTAATGGTTTCATTGTGTTCACTGCTGGTTTTGGTGGAAATTCAAAGCTTTCTGCACCTGCAGCAGTGGCTTTATTTCTTTATTTAGTACCAGGCACTGCAGTGTTTTTTCAAACCTCTTTTTTATATATAAATATATATGGTGGGCCATTATCTATTTGTGCAACACATAATGCAGGGTATGCTTATTAACACTTATTAGTCACAAATATATCTTATTGAATATTATTTATTTTCATCAGCAGTTATCAAAGCTTTGTCAAGCAGTTTGGAAACAGGAGATGAGCCTCTTTCCTAATCCGTCACCTGGCCTGAGAAACCTGTTCAAAGACTTACTTTTACATATTATTTAGGTATCACACACATATCATCCTTATTTTATTATTACCCTTATTTTTTTTTTATCTTTATCTTATTTATTATTATATCTTATTTGTACTTACAATCTTATTTTTATCTCTTCTGTGAATGGTTGCACTACAAGAAAAACATTTCCCGCAAGGGATTATTTAACTAATTCTGATTCATGAATTAAATTCATGAAACATAATCAAATTAGCCATTTTAATCTAGATTAATTCCAAGATTACAGTGAGATTAATCTAGATTAAAGAAATGTATCTATGCCCACCACAAATAAATATAAACCGTATATATATATATATATATATATATATATATACACATACTGTATAGGGATGGGACGATTTATGAAAACTGTCCAAACCGTTCGGTTCGATTCGCATGTGTTTCGTTCGGTTCATGCGCTGCTCCTTTTTCTCATAGGCGAAGCGATTACACTCCAGAGCAGAAGGTGGCGGTACTGCGACCAAAGCCAACCACCAGCAGTAAACAAGAAGAAGAAGAAGCTAAGCAGCTTAGCCGGGTGTAGCAGAAAAAAATCAGTTGTTATGGAGAATTGTGTCGGACTGGCGAGTGGGAAAGAACAGGAGTTGGAAGACGCGCCAGCAGCACTTTATAGGTCTGCTGTATGGGACCGCTTTGCATTTAGAGTGACCTACGATGACGGCGGAAAGAAAGTTGTGGATTAAAGTGCAACAGTGTGCAAGCATTGTGCAACACGTTTTGTTTATGCTAACAGCAACATGACCAACATGTCATGCTAACCCCGAAATCCCTCATACTCCATCAGCACTCCGCCCCGCTGCGCTCCAGACCGGCTGCTCAAAGCAAAGCCTACAGCCCCCACTGTGGCTCCCATTCGCTCCCCTCTGAGTTCCTTGGAGATGGTAGAGAGCATGCGCGAGATGATTAAATTCAAAGCAGCAAAACATACGGAAATGATCCAGGGTTTCCGCGGATCATTTAAAATAATTACAATTCATTATTTTTTGGCCAATTTTTTCATTAATTTTTATGGGATTTCGGTGTAACAATCAACATGTATCGAACCGAACCGAAAACCGTGACCAGAAACCGTGAATCGAACCGAACCGTGGATTTTGTGAACCGTTCCACCCCTTATATATATATATATATACACACATACTGTATAATAGTTTCCTGTTTTTTTTTTAATCTTAATATATTGAGTTTGGTAATGTGTAGGAAAATATTTTTGTTTAGTCAATATTTAACTCATCTGGAAATACTACAAGAGAAAACTCGGTTATGAGGTATTGGGCGCTTATCAATTAATCATTAAATTAGATTGACTTTAGAGTCATTAATCAATAACTTGCATTATTAATTTGTCTGAACTTTATAATTGAACGTAAAAGTGACCAAATAAACAAAGGAAAGAACTTCTCTGCATCTAGCTGTCGGGTTCTTTATGGTTAAAGCTTAAAATTAGGGTAAACATTAAACATTGGGTCAGTGTTTTAAAGATGGCGGCTCTCCTTAGATGTCTCTCCACTAGCTCATTGGAAAAAAAACATTTATTTCTGTTCCTATGGTAACCCACCACTGTTCCTGGTGCCTGTTTAAAACCCACCTGTACTCTGAGAGAGGCAGGAGTTCATTCAATGTATTTAGGAGAACCGCTCCTCTCTTCTCTGGGTTCTTTGTGTTGCATCTAGTGTGTGTGTCTGTATCGGTGTAGGTGTGGGACATAGTCGGGACGGAGCTGAAGCTGAAGAAGGAGCTGACCGGACTGAATCACTGGGTCAGAGCGCTGGTGGCCTCCCAGAACCACCTGTACAGCGGCTCCTATCAGACCATCAAGGTATGTAAGAAAATGTTCACTCAAACTCCAGATCGGTTTGGTCGATGTTCCGATCATAACGCATCAAATGGTTCCTAAAAATGATGATCTATTAATCCTTCTGAAAATCCCTAGAGATTCAGTGACTTCTATCACCTTCTAACTCCATGTTTCGTCCCTCTTTGCTGGCAGATCTGGGATATCCGCTCTCTGGAGTGTGTTCACGTCCTGCAGACCAGCGGGGGCAGCGTTTACTCCATCGCCGTCACCAACCACCACATCGTCTGTGGCACCTATGAGAACCTCATCCATGTAAGAATCTCACCTAAACACCCAGACCTGCTTTCCTTCCTTTTTATTAACAGTCTACATAGACTGGGAATACTGGAACTGGTTCTGGATGTGTGATCAGACCCTCTACAGACGGACCTGCTTCAGTCACACCAAGTTTTTTTAAACCGTTTTCTTCCAAATACCTTTAAAAATATTAAAGGTATTCCAGAGGCAGCTATCTGAACTCCTCCAGCTGCAGGGCGGGATGCTGACGCTGTGGGTCTGTGTTGTAGGTGTGGGACATTGAGTCCAAGGAGCAGGTCCGAACCTTGACGGGCCATGTTGGAACAGTCTACGCTCTGGCTGTCATCTCCACTCCTGACCAGACTAAAGTGTTCAGCGCCTCCTACGACCGCTCCCTCAGGGTGAGTGTGGTGGCTGCAGTAACACCCTGCAGGTAGATTATAAGTGGGAAAAAATGGACTCCGCTTGTGTTGCAGGTGTGGAGCATGGACAACATGATCTGCACCCAGACTCTGCTCAGACACCAAGGCAGTGTGACGGCGCTGGCCGTCTCCAGGGGGCGCCTGTTCTCCGGAGCCGTGGATAGCACCGTCAAGGTAAAACCGACCGTATCTGCTTCGTCTGATTGGGCCTCGACCTTATGGAGGGATTTTTATTCCTTTATTTCTACAAGCAAAGGACACATTTTGGGAATTAAGTTTTAAAAATAATAAAAATAAAAAAAACATTTTGTAAATTGATTTTAGAGATTCAATATTTTTTTTGAAATCTTGAAATATAACTCAAAGTCGTAGGGAAATCATATTTAAATGTCAAATAATTCTGGCTTAAGAATGTATATAAATGTACTCTTTATCAGACCAGATTGTCCCAAAAGTTAGAAAATTTCTATTTAAAAAAAAAAATCCTGTCTTAAAATCTGTATTTTTTGCAGGACAGTTAGTTCTACGTCAGCCTGAACACCTAAATTCAGCCAATCATAGATCAACGGTCATCTGTCAATCACATTTTTTCGTTCATAGCATTTTTATTCATATGTCGCAGCTAATATACGCAACGGTTGAAATAAGAATAATTTCCCATTGAGTTCCGTCCCAGTGTTCACGGGGATGGACGTCTGTGTCTTCAGCAGGCGTAGAGCTAACAGAACTGGCAGCGTTGCGAGGCAAGGGCTCAAACATGTACGGCTGTAAGCCTTCTACACCAAACCAAGCTTCTGCCGCCCTGGCGTCCTTTTCCACAACATCTTCATCCTTGCTTTCCTCCTCTAAATAAAAAATATATGACGGAGGAGACTCATCCACGACCTCCGACACTAAACTCTCCTCCTCTTGCATGTTTCCTCTGTCCATAGCGTTCCTTGACAGTGTCATTTCTAAGTCACCAATTTAGTGCTACTTGGTCCCAATGGAATTTCCCATTGAGAACCTACTAGCACTAAGTTGCTAACTGGTTAGCAAGACGCTTCCGACAAACCGGACACAACCAAACTTGTTTGCGAACCTTCCACCACAACAATCCCGCCCCCTTTTAAACAACCGATCACGTTCACTTTTTTCACTTGTGTAAAGTCGGGCACCACTCGGGAGAATTCAGACTTTAAAAACAATGGAGAACTTAAAAAAAAAAAAAAATTCTTCATAATTCTTTTTCAAGTTTGGGTTTTATAATAACTAAAACAGATTTTATATTGTCAAATAACTTTTTTTAAATTCTGTTTTTTAAAGGTTTTTCACATTTTATATTTGAAATGGATTATTTTTTGAGTTTGAGTTTTATGAATTGGCATTAATGTAATATGTTTAACAGATCATATTCTTTTCACTTGTGGCCCAGTACAAACGGTCCCACTTTGACCAGTGCAAATGTTGTTACTGGGATTTCTAATTCCACAGCTAAAGCCGCCCATAGAAGTGAAGAGAATGTTATCTGGAAAATCCAATTTGAAAAGAAAGCAATTCGTAAAACTCCGGTCATTGGACTCATAAATATCACACAGGGACAAAGTAATCTGATCATCTCTGTCCTTCTCTCTCAGGTGTGGACTTGCTAAACGGACCATCGGCTCTGCAGGCATCCAGCAGACTTTGTTCTCTGCTAACTTCTCCAAAAGACTCCCCTGTTCTGCAAACATCTCTGAACGTGACTCTCTTCATCGCCGTGGCCTCAACGCCGACTCTTCAGCCGCCGCCTCACAGCCGGCCCTAACCGGAAAGGATGGAGCAGAAAGCAGACGCTATGGTGTCAATTTTGTTCCATTATTGTTCCAAGCAAAGATCAGGTTTTGTAAATAAGAAAAAAAAGAAATGCAATCCACAAATGAAACTTTTTTTGAGAGTAGCTTCCTGCTTTCTTCAATTTTATTTTTACATTTCTTTCCACATTTATCATTCAAATAAAATTTTTCAAAATAATTTTTCTGAAGTTATATTTTCAAAATGTAATTTTCTTTAAAAAAACATTTTTTAATCCTTGTTTTTCAGATTTATTGTTTAAATCGCACTTTTCAAATTACATTCTACAAATCAAATTCTCCTCTTTTCAAGCACAACACAAACGCTAGCTTTTATCCGCACATCGACCAATAAAGATGTTGCCTTTAATGCCCATTAAGACCAATAGAGACATGTCTTCACACCCCCAGATGTAAAAAGAACGTGAAATTTTCTATGAAAGGAATGCCATTTGTAAAACTTTTTCTGAAAATCTGAAATTTGAAGAAGAAAAAATATATAAAATATGTAAAGAATGAAATGAATAGAAAAAAATATGAAAAGTAACTTGAAAAGGAGAAATAAAAACTAAATGAGAAGACAGCAAAAAGCTACTCTCAAAACATTTTTTAAACTTACATTTTTAGATTTTCTATATTTCCATTTACAAAATGTATCCTTTCGTTTAAACAATAATGGAGCAAAGTTCACTCCATAGACGATCATTCTGACTCCTCACTCTCAAAGACTGGTTTCCACTCCATGCGTTTCCCTTCTTTTCTGTGGCCTTTCTCTGTGGTTTTCATCGTAAACTCGAGGCTCGATCATTGAAGGCGCAGACCTTGAACCGGTCGACCCCGCTTTCTGTACGCTGCCTTTAAAAAAAACACTCTGAATCTAGAAAAGTCTTTGAAGAAGTGAACGATCTCTAAAGTGTCCATTGTTATGATAAGGTTGTTTGCAGAGCTACTCTATGCTTGTACAGTTGTGTCATATATTTTTTTCTCCGACGGTAAAGAAGGATGGTTCTTCTGCATGCACATCTCTGTTAAAGTGTAAAGGACTTCTTTTTAATAACATAAAAACAAGTGCCATATAATTCAGTTGTATCGATGCATCTTACGCTCCTTTCTCTGCAACTGTCAATATAAGAAGAGGAGATGGAAACTGTAATCTTGTCTTGAAGAAGTTGTTTTAGGACCCATATTGGGTTAAGAATAATGAAAACGATGAAATGCAGACCCTTGATGTTATCCATTTAACACGTTAGCTTAACATTTTTTAAAGTGTTTTTTTTTATATATTATTTTAGCTCACATGGACTGTAGCTTTGGTACAGAAGAAGGAAAGAGAATCGAATGAGACAAAGTGTCTGACTTCACTGATCCGGTTTGGTGATTTCTTGTATACTTCTAATCATTTAAGATCAAGTTTATCATTGATCAATAAACGGTTGTACTCTTTGACGACTGCTGATCTGATTTATTTCATTTCAATATATATGGGGGTATTTCACAACCATTAAATTACCTTTAAAGAGGTCTAATCACATAATATGTCTATGAAAGCAGTGTAACTATTAGCCACTAGGGGCCTTAGAACGGTGACCTCCAGGTTTAGTTCCCTTATGAAACTAAACCTGCTCCCTCATTGATAACAGACCAGCAGACGGAGAAGTTAATGGGTTAAATAAATAACCTATGGTAAATAAAATTAACCAGTCTACTTTAAAGAACAAGAAATGTTTTTGATCAGTATGGGGTAAGAAAGCTCCATGAAAAAACAACAGTAAATGAAAGTCAGTGTGGATGAAGTTATACACTCGCTGCTTTGTTTTAAAAAAATAGAAATATAAAAAATATAACCGCGAATGTCTCGGGGACAGTGATTTGCCTACATGTTATGAATGCTGGCATACCATTAATGATAAATTATGAACAGTTTAGTTTGTGCCTTCAAGTCGTTTGCCCATAGGAAGACGTTACCTGGATATAACCTAACGTAATATATCTTCGGAACAGCTCCAAATTACACAAAACTGATATGGGTGAGTAGAACATGATGTAATAACGTAAAATCAAGGGCCCAGTGTAAAAAAGCCGGCCTTCCCCTTTAAGGAGACAGAAGCCATAGCTCTGTTGAACCCTATACCACCCCCCTGCTCTTTGCAGTAATGACTTTATTAGATTCTTTATATGATAAAATTTATAAAGATTTATCATATCAAATATAAGTTATTGGCACCCCTCTAAATATGATTTATTAATTTCTGGAAGCTGAGGCAGCATCTGAGGTAACTATAGAACCCCTGCTAGGTTTGGACTGTTTTGATCCGGTTGAACACACGGCCAGGCAGACGAGCTCCGAGCCAGCTCCCATGTCAGAGGATGAAGAGAGCACATCCACTCAGTCACAGTCAGAGAAACAGGACTACACTGAAAAACCGGCAGATCCCCAACATCTTTAAAAAAAGGTGTTGTGGCAGCAGCACAGCTGATATTTCTTTCATGATGGTGTAACAGCCAAACAGGAACAGACCAGATGAAGCTACTATGAGAAAAAGCAGAGAGAGCAGAACGTTAGAGGTTAAATAATAGATTCTGCAGAGTGGGAGAATAGAGATAGAATAAAGCAGAATGATGAAAAAGGGGTCCCTCTGTCCTCCAGCAGTCTAAGCCTATAGCAGCATAACTATAGAGATAGCTCAGGATAATCTGAGCCACTCTAACTAGAAGCTTTATCAAAAAGGAAAGTTTTAAGCCTAGCCTTAAAAGTAGACAGGGTGTCTGCCTCACGGACTAAAACTGGTAGTTGGTTCCACAGGAGAGGAGCCTGATAACTAAAAGATCTGCCTCCCATTCTACTTTTAGAAATTCTAGGAACCACTAGTAAACCTGCAGATTGAGAGCGAAGTGCTCTGTTAGGAACATAAGGAACAATCAGATCTCTGATATCAGATGGAGCTTGGCCATTTAAGGCTTTATATGTGAGGAGGATTTTAAAGAAGCATTCCCTCTGATTTTTAACTCTAAGATATGATTAAACAATTCCTGTTACAGGGATATGTATCTCTGGTTTTTAAGGTAGCTGTAATTAAAACTTAAGAAACTGTCTCTGGATCCAAATGACGTGGTCAAATATTTGCCAAAGTGTAATCCTCTTTCCTTATCCAAGGTTCTTTAAAACCCCTGAACACTTTGTCTAAATATGAAGGTTTTATTTCTTCCAGCTCACAAGATGTGATGCAAAACCTTCTTCATTTCTACCAAAAGGAATCCCTGAATTATGTCCAAAGCAAATATTTCATTGCATTCTGTTTATTTTTGGATAAAGACCCAGTTAAAAAGGTACATAGATCTTTGAATATTTCTTTTTTATAGTTCTTGTTTCTATCTATTTGAATATTCAACATTTTAATTGATATAGTGAAATGTAGGTCCAGATTTCCATGGTATTATAAGGCAATTATGTTGGTTCTCTGTGTATTTTTTTTTTAAATCAGACCCCTATGAATTTAAATCTACATTGACCCCTGAACAGTGGTAACCAAGGGGGAAATTGAAGAAATAAAGCCAAATCTGCCAAAGTAGAAAGAATGTTTTTGGTTCTTTGCTTTTTTGGAGTTATATAGATTTTATTGATCTGTGTGTAATACATAACTCACAGTAGATCAGGAAGTGTTTGCTTTGAGATGGAAACCCTGTAAGTCTAAAACCATTCCTTTATGCTTGTCTGTCTGCTTTATTAAACAATATAAAGTGTTGAAGTAGATCTGCTATTTTCACAACTTTTTTGAGACTTTTTTATAAAGTAGGGCATTCAATCACAATTTATTTTATTTTTTTATTCTATAAATCAACGCTTTGTACCCAACAGCAATGATGAACTGCATGGCAGCATTTTGTCTCCAGCAACTGTATTACCTAGGCCAGAGCTGTCAGTCTGGTAAAGGATCTGGTTGTTATTCAAAATTGTAAAGGGTAACGGTTTAATGAAGTGCAACATAAAACCATAAACCCTTTTTGAGTTTTAGTCTACTAAAACCGACTAAAACTATCACATATACTAATGACTAAAATGTGACAAATGCAAAGACTCCGAATAGAAAACTTTGAACTTAGCAATAAGTCAGGAAGTTTCTTAGCTAATCAGCTAAAAATAAACAAATAAAAAACGGCTATATTTGCAGTTACAGACTCAATTGGTAATATATTACAGGATCTGGAGGATATTAACAATACCTTCTGAGATTTCTATAAATCTTTATACACATCATAGGTAACAATGGAAATTCCACAGATACGAGAATTTTCGTCAGTCACCAGTCCCCCCGCAGTACTTATCATATGGAAGCCCATTTCCGCCACTCAAAAAAATAATCTCATTATAATGATATAGTAACTCAATATAATGAGATACTATCTCAATATAATTGAGCAGTCGCCTCGTGCCACAGATCCAACAGCTCCACTTTAGTTTCTGTTTGTCTTTATTTCAGTAAACGTTTTGAACTTTCCTACTGACTGTCTCTCCTTGAATACTGGCACCATGTGCCCTGTTTCATCACCAAAATTTGTTTTTTTCCACATGGGTATAAAGTATGAATATGTAATAAAACTAGTGTTGCACCGATACCGATACCAGTATTGGACGGGGCCCCGATACTGCCCTAAAATGGTGGTATCGGTATTGGAGAGTACCAACAAATAGAGCACCGATACCATTTTGAGAGCCATAAGTTTATTCAACTATTG